CTCAATCTGCCAAGTAGCTGGAACAATAGGTGCACACCACCATGCCTGGCTATTATTAACCTTTTTTGGTAAAGAGAAAATCTTTATATCTTTCCCAAGCTGGTCTCCACATTTTGGGCTTAAGAGATTCTCCTGTCTTAGCCTCCCCAAATCCAAGAATTACAAATGTGAGCCACCACCATGCTGGGGCCTAAAATGTACACTTCAGTAGATTTAAGATGGTAAATTTTATGTGTTTTTACAACAATCAAGTTTTAAAAATAAAAGCAAAAAAATACAGAAGTATAAATCTTTTAAAAATTACCTTCAAATCACTAAAGTGTTTCTCCTACACAAGGAAATATATATTCATCATTAATCACATGGTGAAAATAAGACTATTCCATGACTACTCACTTCGACAAGACAAACTACCACTGAAAATCAGCTATGAAAAACTACTGGCCGGGCGCGGCGGCTCATGCCTGTAATCCCAGCAGTTTGGGAGGCAGAGGCCAGTGGATCACGAGATCAAGAGATTGAGACCATCCTGGTCAACATGGTGAAACCCCGTCTCTACTAAAAACGATACAAAAAATTAGCTGGGCATGGTGGCGTGTGCCTGTAATCTCAGCTACTCAGGAGGCTGAGGCAGGAGAATTGCCTGAACCCAGGAGGCGGAGGTTGCGGTGAGCCGAGATCGTGCCATTACACTCCAGCCTGGGTAACAAGAGCGAAACTCCATCTCAAAAAAAAAAAAAAAGAAAAAATACATATATAATAAGCTATAACCAAAATTGTGGTTATATTTATAGGTAAACATACACAGATATATAATCTGATGGTGATAGATGTATGGCTAATTTCTCTCTTAATTAAACCCCACATTGACTTAAAGTGTACAAAGAGAATTGCAAATTGTCTAAAATTATATAAGTAAAACCAAAAAGCACAATAAATGGATGCTAGGAAGCCTACACTGAAGAAACACACTAATACAGAACTGCAAAACAGTAACAAATGCTTACTCATAAAATCTGGTATGCAACATTAATGAAGGCACCATTAAAAAACTCTGTCCAGATAACTACAATATTTGACTGTAACTGCATACTCATGGAAGGCATTGAGTCATTGGCATAAACTGTGTAACAGCGACATTTCAGAGAAAATGCAGTATATTCGTAAACAGAAGATTCTGATGAGAAACTTTTTAACAAATACGCATTAAAAAGAAACTGGAGTTGATTTTTGTGTTTCAAATATGTGCTATTCTTACACAAAATGAAACTGCTGTAATCCAACTTTAGAAGCAAATAGCCTTACACACACACACACACACACACACGCACACACACACACACGCACACACACACACACGCACACACGCACACACACACACGCAAAATAGGGTTAGACCCTCTGATATATATAACAAATATTTAGAAATGAAGTATGCTCTTATTTAGGTATAGGCTAAAGAAAGTAAATGCAAACTCTATAATTCTTTCTTTGCCTTCAGAAACAAATTTATAAGTAACTATTTTAGTAAATGTGGAGGGCCTACTAACTATCTAATTTACTTCAAACATAACATACATTCTGGCATGTTGTCATAAATGTCTGAATCTAAAATTACAGACAAATTTGAAATAGAAAATAAAAAGTAAAAGCATATAGGGAGAGTGACATCAGTAAGACGGAGAAATAAGTTACCCTATTTTCTTATCCCTCCACAGCCATCCCTGACAAAAATGCCTTTATGAGAATCAGGCCTCATGGCTTGAACCTGTAACGACAGCTACATGGTACATTAAGGTTGGAGAAGTGCTTCAGGCCAGGATTTTGAGCTCAGCCTGGGTTATGTAGCAAGACTCCATCTCCAAAATGAGTACCTTTCAGAGAGCTTTGTGATCCAGGAAGGGAGTTGTGAAACAGCTAAAGCTCAAGACTGAGGAGTGTTTCTTTTCAGAAGGCAGACCCTCATTCAGGTAGCGTGCCACAAGACCCCTGTTCTTGGCGACAGACCAGAAAATGGCTCACCTGATTTGGTCCCGCTGAGAATTCTGCTTACTCTGTAATCATCCCAAACATCTCCCAGCCACACTCTGGGAGAGGTCCTATTCTTCCAGAAACCTGGAGGAAGACAATCATTTATAGCCATGCAGGCAGGCCTGCAGACCTTGGTCTTTATGTGGTCTCTGAAGCAGTTCGATTACTTTGTTCCAGCTCTCTGAGCCACAGTTCATGGCCAGTTCTGCTTCCGTAGATATTCACACAATGACCCAGAGAAATGTTCCCTGCTACTCAGTGAAAGCCATACTCATCCACATCCCAAATAAGGCCCACCATATGCAGACCCGACTGCAAAGTCATGGTGGCTCACACCTGTAATCCCAGCACTTTGGGAGGCTGAGGCGGGTAGATCACCTGAGGTCGGAAGTTCAAGACCAACCTGACCAACATGGAGAAACCCCGACTCTACTAAAAACACAAAATTAGCCGGGCATGGTGGTGCATGCCTATAATCCCAGCTACTCGGGAGGATGAGGCAGGAGAATCGCTTGAACCCAGGAGGCAAAGGTTGCGGTGAGCCAAGATCATGCCATTGTACTCCAGCCTGGACAACAAGAGCAAAATTCTGTCTCAAAACAACAACAACAACAACAACAACAAACCTATCCTGGTATCTGCCCTATAGCGCAAAATCCTAAAGGACATTCAGTCTGTCCAAAAATAAAATGGGAATTACAACCCAAGCCTCTGTTACAAGCCAACTAAAGGTGGACCCTAGTGAACGCCCAGCAGCCTTGTGACCAAGCCACAACCCCACTTCACTACAAATTCAGAGGACATCCCATCACTCTGGAACTCAATCAAAGATCTTTACCTCCAGAAACCAGTTTATAAAACTTGAAGAGGTTTGCTTCTTCGGATTTACAGACACCAATGCAAAACTATATTGTGCCCATTGTCAATGCTTCTATTTTAACATTGCACTGAAAGTATATGGCAGAAGTAAAAAAAAAAAAAAAAAGTCACTGAAACTGAAGACAGCCAGGTGTGGTGGCTCATGCCTGTAATCCCAGCACTTTGGGAGACCGAGGTGGGTGGATCACAAGGTCAGGAGTTCAAGACCAGCCTGGCCAAGATAATGAAGCCCTGTCTCTACTGAAAATACAAAAATTAGCAGGGAATCCAGCTATTTGGGAGGCAGAGGCAGGAGAATCGTTTGAACCTGAGAGATGGAGGTTGCAGTAAGCTGAGATCATGCCACTGCACTCCAGCATGGGTGACAGAGCAAGACTCAATCTCAAAAAAAAAATGAAGACAAAATAGTAAAAAGTTGCTGTTTATACATCATATAACCTTACATTTTAAAAACCACAAACGGCACTGGGTGCAATGGCTCACACCTGTAATCCCAGCACTTTGGGAGGCTGAGGCGGGTGGATCATTTGAGGTCAGGAGTTTGAAATCACCCTGGCCAACATGGTGAAACCCTGTCTCTACTAAAAATACAAAAGTTAGCCAGGCATGGTGGTCCACGCCTGTAATCCCAGCTATTCAGGAAGGTAAGGCAGGAGAATTAGTTGAACTCAGAATGTAGAGGTGGCATTGATCCAAGATCGCACCACTGTACTCCGGCCTGGGTAACAGAGCCAGACTTCATCTCAAAAGAAACAAACAAACAAACAAAGCCATAAACAGTACATTAAAACCTGTCTAAATTAATAAATGCATTCAATAAATTAGCAAAATATAAAATTAACATACAAGTTATGGTTTCATACATTAAAATAAACTGATAAAATAGAAAAAAGAAATCTTATTTATAATATCATTAAAATAATACATTTCTGAAAACAAATTTATCCAAGGATGTAAAAAATCTTTACAACCAATGATATATCAATGAAAGAAATTAGAAAGGACATAAATTTAAAAACATTTTATATCTATGAATTGAAAGAATAAATACTGTTAAAGTGCCATATTATTCAAAGTGATCTCTAGATTGAATACACTTTTTTGAGTCATAACGTCTTATGAAAAAAAACAAAAGAAAATAAATTTAAAAATTAAAGCAAAAAGATTCAATAAACTCCCAATCAAAACTTCAATGATTTTTTTTTCACAGTAATGAAAAACACAATTCTAAAATTTACATGAAACTACAATACATTTTGAATAACCAAAGCAATCTTGAGGAAAAATAAAAATAGAAGAACATCATACTTTAAAATTTCGAACTATATTTCAAGACTATAGTAATGAAGACGGGATGGATTGTGCAGAAAAACCACCACGAAAAAATAGAACAGAAACCACATGTTTCAGACATAACACAAAAAGAAAACATAAAAGATAGTTTAACATAGAGTTACTCAAAATTATGCAGCTATTTGTGCCTACCCAAAAACAATGGAAAAGGAGTCAGATGGTACAGTCTGTTACATGCCATGAAGAGGACTTTGGCTCTCACTTAAGCTTTAAAAGAGATCAGAGGGGAAAGCAGAATCCTCAAAGAATTTAAAAACGTAAGATGAGGAGGGGCATGGTGGCTCATGCCTGCAATCCCAGCACTTTGAGAGGCTGAGGCAGGCAGATCATGAGGTCAAGAGATTGAGACCATCCTGGCCAACATGGTGAAACCCCATCTCTATTAGAAATACAAAAATTAGCTGGGCATGGTGGCACGCACCTATAGTCTCAGCTACCAGAGAGGATGAGGCAGGAGAATTGCTTGAACCTGGGAGGCAGAGCTTGCAGTGAGCCGAGATTGCATCACTGCACTCCAGCCTGGGTGACAAGAGCAAAACTCTATCTCAAAAAAAAAAAAAAAAAAAAGCAAGAAATGGAAGATGCCACTATGTGAAAGGAAAATTTTTAAAAACAACCCAGCTTTACAGAAATTATTTGTTTTGAAACACATCTTCCCAAGTTAATTTTTAAAGACGCTTTCTCCTTGACCTTGGGACCTCTCAATGGTGTCATCTGCTGTGTTCACTCTCACCTACCTGGGGGTTCATCCACCATTTCATGTTGCTTCATATTCCAGGGCTCTTTTTCTTTCTCCAGACAGGTAATTAGGTCTGGCTTAGAGACAATAAAACCTGTTTTATTAAAAATAAATAATATGAATCTTGCTCATCTTCTGTAGTTACCAACTAAATAATGTGCTCAATAAAGAGGATGTAATGGAATATTCTAGTAAGTTAATCCCAAAACAATAATTTATATCAGAAATTTCTAAATATTTACAAACTATTTTCAATTTGTAGGTACTTAATTTCACTACCCAGTACTAAGGAATCAGAAATTGATGGTGGCAATTAGATTTTAAAGTGTGGGCAACAATATTTAAGCCACAAAATTTCTGGAATTAATATTTAATCCAGCCCAGGTACGGTGGCTCACGCCTGTAATCCTAGCACTTTGGGAGGCTGAGGCGGGTGGATTGCTTGAGGTCAGGAGTTGGAGACCAGCCCGGCCAACATGGTAGAACCCCATCTCTATAAAAAACAATAAAAATTTTTTTAAATTAAAAAATAAATAAATAAAACATGAATCCAGAGTGAAGGATACACATCATCTCAGGAATGTGGAAAGTTAAGGTCAAAATGAAACATCTTGAAGAAATTCTCTTCTACATGGATTAACTCCCAAGATTTTCTTGAAAACAAGGATACGAAACTCATTTATGCAAAGCATACTTTACCAAAACACATTCTACAAAAAGGAGAAGTAAGCCTTTAGGATATATTGGGAATGGTGTATTGAGGTTATCCTCACCGAGGAAGACCAGGTTTCTGTAGTTCTCTAACATCACATTTTTATATAAATTCTGCTGTGCTTTGTCCAGGCATTCCACTCCTCCAGAGAGAATTCCATAGCCACATCTGTAAATGTCAACGATGCCTGAAAAACACACAAACACACATATTTACCAAGTGGCCATGGGCAGAATTTTAAATTTGACTCAAGGTGAAATGAAAGAGCAAAGAGAACTGGTTCTAACTCATAGGACTGCCTAAAATTTTCCAATAAAATGAATTTCAAAACAGAAATATCCTCTCTGGGAAAACAGAGTGGCATAAAATCTACAATATCAGTGCTTTTCTGTTCTCCTGAATAATAAAGTATAAAATCAGGGGCATAAACACAAACGTACATTTTTGAGTGCTACATTTACATTCTAAAGAACGAGTTGTGTGTATTATTCAGATCAAAAGGATGTTAAGTTAGAAGGTACCTCTTAAATTTTAATGTAATAAACTTGAGATCGTGTTAATGCAGATACTTTTTTCAGAAAATCAGAAATAAAGTCTGAGTTGCTGAATTTCTAACAAGCTCACCATTAATGCCAACGTTTTTGCCTCAAAAAGAAGATTTTGTCAAAAACACTAAGTAAAAGAGCCTGTGTTTTTCCCAGTTTTTCTGGCCTATAATCAAAGATGAGAGCTTTCACTTTCCTAACACAGATACATGCAAAGTAAACCTCAGAAAGAAGGGCAGCTTCCAGATTAAATATGATAATTTAGCACATCAGCTGCAAAAAGATACTTAATAATAAAGAGGAAAATAATTAACTCTATAGTAAAAAAAAAAATCTGTCCGAGAGTCTTTAACCAAGTGAATCGTTAACATCAAGTGCACTAGAACCAATTTTCATGATGTGCTGATACACACAGGACACAGCATCACTGCTGAAATGTTGCCATCCTGAAAGTTAATTATAGTCTGCATTTAACCAGGCAGAAGCATGAGTTTATGCAAAGTTTAAGATACAGATATCTTCCATGTTCTGTAACTTTTAATACTGATATTAAGTAATCTTTCTTTAGCACCCTGTACAGCAAGTATCTTCCAATTTTTTTAATTTAAGTTCTGGGGTACATGTGCAGATCTTGCAGGATTATTACATAGGTATACACATGCCATGGTGCTTTGCTGCCTCCATCCCCCATCACCTCCATTAGGTATTTCTCCTAATGTTATCCCTCTCCAATCTCCCCACCCCCTGCTATCCCTCCCCGAGCCTCCCATCCCCCAACAGACCCAAGTGTGTGATGTTCCCCTCCCTGTGTGCACATCAGAATGGTGATCATCAAAAAATCTGGAGACCACAGATGCTGGAGAGGATGTGGAGAAATAGGAACACTTTTACACTGTTGGTGGGAGTGTAAATTAGTTCAACCATTGTCGAAGACAGTGTGGCAATTCCTCAAGGACCTAGAAACAGAAATTCCATTTGACCCAGCAATCCCATTACTGGGTATATACACAAAGGATTATAAATCATCCTAATTTTTAAAAATAACTTTATGGGAATAAGTGCCATCCTGTTTAAATAAGCATTTTTTATATCCTGTTCTGCACAGAGCTAATGGAGAACACAGATGGAACCTCCACATTATATGTTCTCCATTTTCACTAAGGATGGACCCCTAATTTCCTCAACAGAAATCATGAGTTGCTACATCTTCCTATGGTCCACAACCACAAAGGGAACAATTTTAATATTGCAGATTATAAATTTGTGGTGAAAATTCTGCAGGGCATATAAGAAACCAAGACGTAGAGAACGGAGAAAAGGCTCTGGTGTACAGGAAAGAAATATTTTGCAGAGACCCTTGGATATTACATGAATTTTTAAAAGCTGTTAAACTCATGAGGGAGGAAAAACACAAGAAAAGAAGCAAAGGCTTGCCAATTACTAAGCGCATGGCAGTCCAGGAAGCAGAGAGGACACAGCTCTTGATCTGAGATACGCTTAGCTAAAGGAAAGGCCATTTTTTTCCTTATTTCTCCCCCTTCTCTGGATTCCTGCTCAGATGAGATTCTTAATGAATTACATCTGCATCTTGAAAAAATGCCTTTAAAGGTTTCAGCACTGCCTGTTTGTTCTTTATAACAAAAGGGATTCAGGAACAATAAGCTGCTCCATGGGAGCAAAAATATAAATTTCTCTTTTCCTGTTCTCAGGTAACCTCCCCTGCCACAAGCACCAGCAATTTCTGCTATAGTAATGGAAATATGGGCCACTCTGCCCTGTCCCTACCAAAGCTGAACAGAAAAAGGCCCTGTAACCACCCTTTAGTGCAAAGGTGAAATTTAACTCTCATGAATGTATTTTGAAGCCCTCATACCTGATTCTGGCCTCACCTTAGAGTCACATGAGGCACTTCATTAAAACAACATGGATGCTTCCACCCAGAATAATAAACAGAATCCATGGAAAAGGGTACAAGTAAGTAGATGTAGGGAACCAGTCCCACATCCCACCAGGGGGTACCTCAAGTTCAGTGGCAACAAAGGACTGAGAAAAAGACAGATTAAGAATGAAAGTGGGACCAGGGGACCATCACTTGTAATGGAGGCAGTGAAGGCCCCGAGCTCTGGTTTCCACAGTGTTTATTGAACACAATCACTTTTATCTGTAGTGCAGGTGGCAGGGTGACTCCGTGAAGGGAGGCTGTGTATCAAACAGAATTGATAGCAGTGGCGGTTTATGTGAGTTTCTCAAGAACTAAAATCATATGCTTATCTATAGTGCAGCTGGTGGGAGTGGGCTTAGCAAGCAGCCTACATGCCTGGTTACATTACAGTGCTTCAAGAAGTGTTATGTCCTTGGGCACAGTGTTTAGAGTATCAGAGCTTAGGTCACTCTGTTCCTGGGAACATGCTGGCATAGAGAGGCCTTCCTCCCCAGAGGTCTCTGCGGCCTTCTGCAGTTCATTGTTTCTGATTTCTTTTATCCATTACTTATACCTAGTTTATTTAGGCACACTGTGAACCGTTCCTCCACTGCTGCTTCCCCCAACAAGTAGAGATTTCTGCAAACTGTCCATGTAATCCTAATCAGAAATCTGGGCTGTGGTGGGCACAGCGACTCACACCTGAAATCCCAGCACTTTGGGAGGCTGAGGAAGGCAGATCACAAGGTCAGGAGATCGAGACCATCCTGACCAACATGGTGAAACCCTGTCTCTACTAAAAATATAAAAACTAGCTGCGCATGGCAGCACGTCCCTGTAGTCCTGGCTGCTTGGGAGGCAGAGGTTGCAGTGAGCCAAGATTGCGCCACTGCACTCCAGCCTGGTGACAGAGCTAGACTCCAACTCAAAAAAAAAAATCTGGGCTGATAACATTTAGCTAAGCATTGCCTCTCAAACTTTAGTAAGCTTAAAAATAACTTGGTTAAAAAATAAATAAATAAAAATAACCTGGTAATTTTGACCCCATTCTACATATTGTAATTCATACAAGGGATCTAAAATGGGTGTTTTAAACCAGTCCCCATCAATGCTGATATTGCTCCCCCTGGGCTCATTATTGGCACTAGTTAGAGAAGCAGGCACAGCACAGAGTCTCTTATACTCAGCACTCTTGTCACAACATAAATACTTCTAGGACAAATGAAGACAACTTTTATTTCCATCCTAAAGTATCATATTCTTTGCTGACTCTTTAAAATTAATAGAATAACCAGAAGGCAGCAAAGTCTGAATGAGTCTGCATCATAAACCTGTGCACATGTACTAATGCAATAATTATTATACAGATACTATGTGCTCAAGAGTATGTTACAGGCCGGGCGCGGTGGCTCAAGCCTGTAATCCCAGCACTTTGGGAGGCCGAGGCGGGTGGATCACGAGGTCAAGAGATGGGAGACCATCCTGGTCAACATGGTGAAACCCCAGCTCTACTAAAAATATAAAAAGTTAGCTGGGCATGGTGGCGTGTGCCTGTAATCCCAGCTACTCAGGAGGCTGAGGCAGGAGAATTGCTTGAACCCGGGAGGCAGAGGTTGCGGTGAGCCGAGATCGCGCCATTGCACTCCAGCCTGGGTAACAAGAGTGAAACTCCGTCTCAAAAAAAAAAAAGGGGGTATGTTACAGAGCATTGTGCTGGGAATAACACATTATGGGATTTAATCCTCATAACACCCGAGAGCTGGTACTAAGTGCTTAATAATTCCCAAAATTTAGAAAAAGGTCCAGTATTTTTATTTCTTCTGTTTCTGTCATCAATTTCTTTAAAAACTGTATAGTATAGGGAGCCACCATGGCTCAGGCTAGTTGTCCTGGCGCTTGAGGAGGTGAGGCTACACGTTCAAGGCTAGCCTAGGCAACCTAAGAACCATTCATTAAAATAAATAAATCAATAACTGTATAGAATAAAAGCTAAAGATACAAGATGGGAGAAAAAAAGAGTTTTAATGTAGTTTTGAGAAATTTTATTGTGTTTAATTTTTTGTGACTTGTGTAGCAACTAGTGGATCTGCAGGACCAGAAAACAACTTACTAAATGGAATGTCTCTGCAAGCACTGGTTTTAATAGAAAACTAAAAACTTAAGACCCTAAAATACATACTTTTTTCCACTTATCTGCTTTAGGGTTAAGAAAACATGAGCACAAGCTCTAGAGAGGAAACAGGATTCACCAGCCAAAACTCTGATCTCTTCTCATCAGTTATGTGACACAAGGCTCCAGAGTGGGGACAGATCTAAATAAGGCCTCCAAAAAGGGTGAACTGAACAGAACTGGGGCAGGGAGGGGACCCTTTTTTGAATTCTGCTCTCTAGGCCAATGAAAGCACTACCAGTTCCATTTTTCTTAAGCTTACCTAAGAAAAACTTAAATCTCAGACTTTGTATAATTTTTACAACTGCCCCCTCAATTTCATAACATACACTATTAAGCAATTTAAACAAATCTCTTACTGATTTCTAGGGTAATTTTATTATAAGTTAAATATGTATTCTTAGCAAGGTAAAAGAAATAGAAATAACAATAAAAGCTCTCCATCTGTAAACAGCCCTTCAGGTGATGACATCAGAAGTCACGACAATATAAAGAACCTGGCCCCAGAAAAGCCCAAGATCTTTGTGCACCCATCTATTCATTCTATAACT